CGAATGATTTGTGTTTGGCTTGCTGAATTGTTGATTGATTTCGTGATCTGCTGCTTGATCACTCGATTGTTTGACTGCATCGACCGGACGATTGATTGCTCTCACAACGGGGATGAAAAATGTAGCGTCGCGGGGGGGGGCGGGGGGGGGGATAACAACAACCAGGGCAGGTTCCCCCGTAGGGTTGCTTATTTGACTGTGCGACTTTGTTCATTGTCTGCATCACGGCCTTGGCTACTCGGTTCGCACAATTGCTTAAGTCCCTTTGAAAGCGAGTGGTTGCTCTATTGCCAGGTAGGTTGGTGCTTTGATCTTGATTCATCATAATAATGGGATTGAATTTGTCAGACTGGTCACTGGGCTGGTTGTGTACACGTCTGATTCGATGTCTTGTTGGACAGATCTCTTGATGGATTGCTAGCCACTGGGTTGGTTGATGACTACTGTGCTTGTGTATTGCATTGCTTGATTGACTGCTAGATTGATCTGCTTGATTGATCTGCCTGATTGTTTTGCTCGCTCCATGGGCTGCTTGATTGAATGCTTGATTGGCTGCTTGATCGGCTCTTTGATTGGCTGCTTGATTGACTGGTTGATTGATCTGTTTGATTGACTGCTTGATTGACTGCTTGATTGACTGCTTGATTGACTGCTTGATTGATCTGCTTGATTGGCTGCTTTATTGAGCTGGCTGATTGTTTTGCTCGCTCGATGGGCTGCTTGATTGAATGCTTGATTGAATGCTTGATTGAATGCTTGATTGAATGCTTGATCGGCTCTTTGATTGGCTGCTTGACTGACTGGTTGATTGATCTGGTTGATTGATCTGTTTGATTGATTTAGTTGATTGGTCTGCTCACTCAATGGGCTGCTTGATTGAATGTTTGATTGGCTGCTTGATCGGCTCTTTGATTGGCTGTTTGATTGCCTGCTTGATTCATCTTGGTTGATCCATCTGGCCCATTAATCTGGTCGATGACGTCACATTGCGTATCTTGTGGCTTGATTGATCTGCTTGATGAGTTGATGCTGCGTGATTACTGCGAGGCCGAGTTTTTGCTTTGTTGCTTGCTGGGTTATTGGATTGCTTCCTTCACTGACTGATTGGTCAGCTTGATCGCTCCATGTGCAATGTACAGATGGACGAGGTAGACATGCTGTCCGAGCCAATCATCAATAATGTCGTTCAAGTTTAAACACGATGAAATGAGAGAATAAATTACAGTCCACCCTTTATGGAGTCATGTAACAGCTCATGAGCATCGTTTACCCCTTCTCTACCTACCCCTTCACAACCATTCACAGCCTCTAGTCATGCGGTTGCGCACTCCTGTCGGGGCGGGGCTGGTTAGGTGTGGGGCCAGCAGCCTCACACACACGTAAAAACACGCTAGGTAGCGTTAGGGAAGTGTGCCCAGGTGACAGAGTCGTACCGCTGCCTTCTGAATTGTCAAAGAATTCAAAGGGCAGTGGTGCAATTCTGCTTCGCAGGTAATTTGTTGTTCTGTGTTTCGACCTGAGGAGCGTGTTTCCAGCCGGCCGAATTCAAGGGGCAGTGGTGCAATTCTGTCGACGTCGGTAATTTGTTGTGTGTGCATATAAACACCACTCGTTCGCAGCCGCTCCTTTCTCATCTCCACCTTCATCTCGGGCCCCCACACACCTATGGGGTGATTTCTGTGACAATTTTTCACATGCCAGTTGTACAGTTCTATCACCTGAGGAGTCTGTTTCGACCGCCTCCCATTGTGATCCTGCTACGTTGGCAATTTGTTGTGTGTTCATATAAACAAGACTCGCTTGGAGTCAGTACTTGCTCATCTCCACCTTCATCTTGGTCTCCCGCAGACCTATGGGGTGAATTTTCTTTGAGAATTCACAGGCCACCAGTGGTACAAAAAATCTGTCACCCGAGCATGTGTACTGCATGCTGTTTGGCGTTTTCTGCACAGAGAGATCGTGAAGATGCAGTGAGTTGGAATGCAGAAGGTAACGAGCTGGGATGCACTTGTACTTGTGTGCTTCTTGCAGTGCACGAGGATGGACTGCAGACTGTGTATTTGGACCATTTCTCGATTGAAGTGCAGCGAGTGCTGGTGAAAGGTGCATTGCATTTGGAGCAACAGCAGGGAGCTTGCATCATAGTTTTGGGCACAAGTGCAAATTTTTTTGTCCCTTCATTCTCCTGTCCATCCGCCCCTCCATCCGTCAAAAGAATCAGCAGAGGTGTGTGCCTTCAAGTGAGTTTTTTTTAATAATTATATATATATATATATATGACGATATATGTATATAAATATATAAATTTGGACCAGTTCTCGATTTATGCATGTCATCCTTGCGCAGGGGCCATGCTAATCTTCTTTCTCTGCATCGTTCCAAATTCCAATCCTTTTAACGGATGTCCCGAGTGCATGGTGTTTATAACTTTATATGCACACAATATAAATTAAAGTAGCAGGATTGTTGCGGAAGCAGGTCGAACAAGAAAAGACCCAAAAGAGAACCTCTTCGCTTATGCAAGCAGGGACACACAAAATAAAGTACCAGCGTAGCCGCGGATTGTGCTCGGAGCCGGTCGAACAAGAAACGACCCAAGAGAGGAACTCTTCTCTCACGTGAGTAGGGAGCAGAGCAAGGGTGAAGACCGGGGGGGTGTAAGCTGTGGGACAAGTGTTGTTGATCTTCTCTGTGAGAAAGCTGTACCCCCCTAGCTGCCGGACATTTCAACTGAACGAAATTCGAGATCGCATGACAAATGGAAAATTCCAGAAAAAATAAATAAATCAAAGTCCGGGACAACTGATTTCTACGAAAAAAAAAAAAAAAAACAAGAAAAGGAAGGATTTCCTTTGACCTAATCTGCCTGGAATTGTCATTCGCAGGTCTCAGGGTTTAGGGTTTAGATGGATCACGTTGAGTGTGTGTGTGTGTGTGTGTGTGTGCGTGCGGCGAGGAGAAGAGAAACCTCACAGTCCCAGATATGCTCCTTTGTTGCCAGAACACATGTGGGTGGATTGCGAACTTCACATCTTCTTTTAGAGCACAGACAGAATGAATTGCTGTTTGTTTCTTTTTTTTTTTTTTTGGGGGGGGGGCGGGGGGCGGGGTTCAAAACACAGATTCAGTATATTCCAAATATCAATGCCGAGGAGGCCGGGAACCTCGCAATTCAACCCCGATACTGAGAGCATTACTCAGCTTCGCTTTAGTAACCACATGAGCTTTGGGTTCTTAGAGCATTAATCAAGCTGTTTGTTTCATTCTCCATCTGATATTGGTTGATTGTTTCTGCGCTACCGCCTTCACCCGAAGAGAACGCCCAGTCATTATCGCTGCATCTACACTGAAAGCCGCACAAAATGCAGCTATAATGAACGGGCGTTCTATTCGGGTGAAGACGGTAGCGCAGACGAATTGGGACCTCCTTTGGTCCTTGGACGGCCAGGCTGCCCGACCAAACAAGTTGACCTGGCGGTCCGGCTGGTAGCCTAGCTATCAGATGCATTTGGACCCACTTCATTTCATCCATCACTTCTCAGTTAATCTTGCTACCTCAACTGGTATTATTGCAGTTTTTTTTTTGTGTGTGTGGTTATTGGACAATGTGTTGAGAAGGAGGATCCCCATCTTTCATATTGCCGCCATGTGTTGGCTACAAGGAGACAGCGTCGGTGTTCTGGGCAGTGCCCGGCCTTCACTTGCCGTTGTTTTCCCCTCCTTGTTCCCGTTCCTTGAATTCTTTCAATCAGTTTTAAATCTTCCTCTCTCTCTCTCTCTTTCTCCCTTTCTTCCCGCCATCCTGCACATTTTTGTTTTCTAACTTTTCTGAGTGTTACGTGGCCCCGTCATTGCGCGTGCCATTATCTAAAATTTCCTTTGTTGGCAGTCTCCTTTCTCCCTGGGTGGTGTGCAAGGGATCAAGGCAGGCGTGAACTTGTAGCTGATGTGTGTTGAGTCTGTTGACTCATCATTTGTGGCGACGAATGATCAAGTTTTCTGTCCTTGTGTGTGTGTGGGGAGGGGGGGGGG